TACCAAAATAAATAAATTTTAAAATAAAACAAAAAAGAGAAAGGTTCAAGGTGTTGATGCAAGAAATATGTATGTAGGCATGTGGTAGAACATGTGACAGGTATGTTGGGGATTCCTAAGACACCCCAAGCTCAAGAAATTTGCTTGCACTATTCAGCATATAGCCATTCTCATGGCTGTGATTGTTACAGTGTACAGAATCCAAAGCAAAATTAGCAAAGGGATAAGGCACATGGGGCAGTCTGGAAGCCACTAGGTACAAGCTTCCAAGAGTCCTCTCTCAGTGGACTCAACACAGGACATATTTCATTCCTCCAGCAGGATGAGTTTGAAAAGTCTATTAGGAAAGTTCATTATAAATAGTTTCCAGAGTTTTCTTTGGGGACTGGTGGTATAGGTACCCTCTGCACAGCATGTATTAGGAGGCCTACTTTCCTCCAGAGTCTCAGAAGGAAAGCAGGTGTTCAACGTATACCACAGTTTGCACTAACAGCCTAGCCAGAGTGAGCCTCTGTTACCAGGGAATCGAGGAATGCTCTCAAAATTCAAGCTCCTAAATCCCAGCCAAGGGCCAACCTTGGAAGCAGCTCTTCAAAAAAAAAAAAAAAAAAAAAAAGTAGACAAGCACAATAGAGCAGTCTCAGGCCTACTAAAGAGACTCTGTGCACAGTAGAAATTGTTGTCTCTGGGCAGCAGAAGCTCAGGAAAGACTTTAGAGGGAAATGACGCTTGGGGTGAGCCTCAGAAGCTGAAGAGATGATTATCAACTTGAAAGGATGAGATGGGGCTTCCAGCAGAGGGCAGAGGGAGCCTTAGTAGCAAAGGCAGAGAGGTGGGGACTACTCATATTTGGAGAAGTGTGGGTAGTTTGGAGTGGCTGCCACTGGGTGTGGGTAGTATGGCAAGGTCTTTGATGACCAGCTCACACAAGGCCAAGTGTGCATGCAGAACTGGATGTCTGGAGGTGGAGAGAATTCCAAGAGGGGACAGTATAATCATATGTAAAGGCTAATAGTACTGTATTCATTTGTAAGGACTGTCATAATGAAATAACAATAGAAGTTATTTTCTCACAGTTCAGTAGGCTTAGAGTCCAAGACCAAGGTGTCATCAAGTTTGGTTTCCTTTGAGGCTTTCCTCCTTGGCTCTCAGTAGCTGCCTTCTCTTCCTCACATGGTCTTCCCTTGGTCTGTGTACATGTTTGGTGTGTCTCATCTCCTCTGCTTGTAAGGACACTGGTCATGCTGCATTAGGGAACACCCTGACAACCTCATTTTACCTTTTTAACAGTCCCTGTCACTAAATACAGTCACATTCTAAGTTACTGGGAGTTAGGGCTTCAGCATATGAATTTAGAGGGAGGACAAGATTCAGCCCACAAAGCTTCTAAATATTTGGAATTTGTGGAATTGTGCTAGAGGCCTGATAGGGCTTTCAGATTCCTTTTTTAGGTCTACTTTAAAAAAAAAAAGTAGACAGGCACAATAGAGCAGTGTTTTCCTACTGCCCATGATAAATGGGGGGTCCTAAAATTAATTCTATGGGGAGGGGTTAATACTTTTTTAATGGAATAAAATGGATTAGAATATAATACATGTAATTAAGAGCATCACAAATATTGTTTCATAAAAGTTTTGTTTCTCTTATATGTGAATGTAGCCAGGTTAATGTTATAAACTATGATATTTGAAATAAGATACTGAATACTTTTCCCACTGATAGAAAGAGGAAGTATCTTTTCCTTCAGAGACACAAAACCAATAGGACATACAGAGAGATCAGAGAAGAGGTTTACTTTGGGAATTGGTTTGCGTGACTGTGGAGGCCAAGTATTCCCACAATATGCCATCTACATACCAGAGAACCAGGAAGTCACAGGTGCAATTCAGTCTCAGGTTGAAGGCCTCATATGGGTGTTGTTCAGGGAAGGGGCTTATCAGTGGTTAAGTCCTGGAGTCCAAAGGTCCAAAAACCAGAAGCTCCCACGTCCAAGAACAGGACAGAATGAAAGCGCCAGCTCAAGAACAGAGAGTTCACCTTTTCTCCATTTTTTGCAGGGGGGAGTACTGGGGATTAAACTCAGGGACACTCAAAGACGGAGCCACATCCCCAGCCCTATTTTTGTGTTTTAATAACACACAGGGTCTCACTGAGTTGCTGAGCACCTCGAAGTTGCAGAGGCTGGCTTTGAACTCATGATCCTCCTGCCTCAGCCTCCGGAGGTGCTGGGATTACAGGCATGCACCACCACCCCAGCAACTTTCTCTATTTTTTGTTTCATCTATTCTTTCTACTGATTGGATAATGCCCACTCATGCTGGTGAGGCCAACCTATCTTTCTCAGTCTACTGATTCAAATGCTAATTTTTTCATGAGACCCCCTCACAGACACACCTACAAGTAATGTGCTACCAACTATCTGGGCATCCTTTGGCCCAGACAAGTTGATGCACAAAATTAACCATCTCTGTACCATTTTCATGTGCTACCTCTAGGAACTCTTGTCAAGGCACAAAAGGACTACTGTGTAGAATAGGTCTTTGCTGCTACATAAGCAAAGACCAAGAAATTCTGGCTTGGCTGGGTCTTCTCAAACAGACACTCATGATGGCCGCAGCACTGTGACCTCAGCCAGTGCCAGCAAAGTGGGAGAGACATCATCACCCTGAAGAAGGGGATGGCCAGTGTCATTCCAGAGCAGCTGCAGCATATCCACATCCAGCCTGGTATGACCTCGAGTGCAAAGCTGCTGGGCAGACTTGGAAAGTCAGTGTCAAAAGAAGACACACTCTGAGTCAAGGCTTCAGTCCCTCCTCGCCAAGTGTGGAAGAGGTGGGAAAAAAACATAGGTAGTAAAGAAGGTCATGGTCCGTGCAGAGTGCCCCACCTTGAGAGTCAGAGAAGCAGTCATCACACTGGTGGTCCAAGGTGAACTGTTTTTGACACCTTTCTGGGAAAGAGAAATGGACACAGAGACCAACATATTGATTAGGTCCACAGAACAGCCAAAGTTCCCCATTGTAGGAGAGTAGTCCTCTAATGACGGCCAACAGTAAGAGAAGGGACTCCAGAGACATGAGAATGAGGACCGGCCTGTCCATCATCACAGTGTGACCTTGGTCAGGCCACTAACCTGCTCCAAGTCTTGGTCTCCTCATCAGAAACAAGGGGCTTGGCTGGGCCAGCTCTCTGATCCTGTCCAGCTCCTGCAATTCCAGGGAAATGGGAGAGCTGAGTCGCAGGGTTTCAGCAGTGAGCTGGTCATGGAAGTGGCACTAGCCCTGGAGTCAGACCTGATGCAAGGCCTCTCTGCACTGACCACTGGTGTCCGCAGGCACATTACTTCTTGGAAGCTCCACTTCCTTATTCAGAATTGGGCAGTAATAGCATTTTCCTCAGAGTTGTGGTGAAGATAAACAAGACACCACCCAGAAGTCTCCAGCAAAGAACCTGGCATCCGTAGGTGCTCAGTGAATGGCGGCTGCTAGGATGTTAACAGTCCGCCTCCCTCCCAAACAGTGCAAGCTCTGGTTGCCAGATCAGTGGTCACTGACAGGAGCCTTTTCCATCCTCTCCACGGGAGGCCAAAGCACAGCTGACAAATGGTGCCATCAAAGGGAGGCCCTGCTGCCAGGCCCAGGCCACTTCTTAGAGCAGCCTGGACACCGGGCTCCAGACCAACTCGGGGAACAACATGTGGAAAGAGACTGGGGAGCTTGAGGAAGGACTTCCCTCCAGAAGGAAGGAAGCCAGAAAGCTGCCTGGGAGGCCCCGGCTGGGTTGGCCTGAGCAGAGATGAATTGAATTGAGGGGGACACCTTGGCAAGAAGAAAGAAACCCGGTCACCGTCGGGAGGTCTGTGAATGAAGGCCACACGATGCGAAGTCAACACACGTTTCTTCAGAAAGCCATCTACATGGACAGTATTGTATTTATGGGATACAAAGTATATCTTCTTTAGACAGAATTTTTTCATTTTTATTTTATTTGTTTGTTTTACTGTGCTGGGGAACCAACCCAGGGCCTCATGCCTATGAGGCAAGTGCTCTACCACTGGAACTATAGCCCTGACCCCAGAATTTTATGTTCTAAAATATATATACCACATTCTGTTTGTGAAAATGTACTGACCAATACAGGTTTTCTTTTCTGAGTGAATCTAAAATTTCCATTCAAATACATGCCTGCAACCCCAGCAACTCAGGAGGCTGAGACAGGAGGATCACAAGCTCAAAAATAGCCTCAGTAGGTCCCTGGAGGTGTGCCTTTGGGATATAGATTTTATCCTTGCTGAGTGACGCTGTCTCTGTCTACTTCCTGGTGCCATAACCTGAGCTGCTTTCTCCTACCACACTCTTCCACCACAATGTTCTGCCTTGCTCAGGCCCAGAGCAATGGAGTTGGCCATCTATGGCCTGAGATCTCTGAAACCATGAACCCCAAATAAACTTTTATTCCTCTTTAAAAAGAAAAAAAAGCCAGCCTCAGCAACTTTCCAAGGCCCTAAGAAACTTAGCAAGACCCTGTCTCAAAAAATAAAAAAGGGCTGGGGATGTGGCTCAGTGGTTAAGCACCCTGGGTTCAATCTCCAGTGCCCCAAAAAAGGACATTACATGAAAATTCATGGGATATAGCTAATGGTAGGCATACAGGGAAATTTATAATCTTATAAAAATGGAAAGGCTGAAAATGGTTTGTTCTATATTAAAAACAAAAGAATAGAAAAATATATCTAAGGAAAATAGAAGGAAGAAAATAATAAAGATTATGAATCAGTGAAATAGAAAACAAATATACATTAGGGGAAAATAAGAAAATAAAAAGTTGGTTCTTTGAAAATAGTATATTTTAATGGACAAATTCCTAGCAATACCCATCAACAAAAATAGAAAACACAAACTTCCAAATATTAGAAAGGACGTCACTATAGACCCTACAGACATCAAAAAGATAAAAGAATGTTGTCTTACATCAAAAAATTGACAACTTGTCCCAGCACCTCAAAAAATAAAAACTTTATTGTTTGTTTGTTTTGGCAGTTTGAATGAAATGGACAAATTCATTGAGAAATGCAGCTTTCCAAAATGGACTAGAAAAAGAAAAGAAAATCAGAATATCCAATATGCAATAAATAAATTGAATCTATTATTTGACAACTTGATGGCTTCATCAATTAATTCTTTCAAATATTTAAAGAATAACAATCTTGCACAAACTCTTCCAGAAAACAGAAAAATCCATGTACCCTTCCCAACTCTTTTTATATGGCCAATATAACCTCTATAGGAAAAAAAGAAGAAAGAAACTGGACTAGGATACTGCACAAAGGAAAAAATCATAGACCAGTCTCAATCATTGTGGTATAACAAAAAAAAATAGTTGGTCTTTGTCCTTAGTCCCTCTTGGTTCTAAGAACTCCCCAAGCTCTTGGAATCTTCACAGACAAGAGTGTCTTCTGTACGCTAATGAGAGGCCTCTGGGTAGCATCAGGATGGGACATGGGGGTCACCAGAACAACCTAGGCGTGCTTAGACAGTTGGAGTTTTCAGGCTCCTCCACAACCTCCAGGGAGGAGAGAAAGGTGAAGGGTTGGAGGCTGAGTGAGTCGCCACTGGCTGTGATTTAATTATTCATGGCTGTGTAATGGCACCTCCATAAAAGCCCCTAAATAAAGGGGCTCAGGAAGTTTCCAGGTTAGTGAACATATCAAGGTGCTGGGAGGGCGATGGACCCAGAGAGGGCACAGAAGCTCTGTGCCCCTTCCCCCATACTTTGCCCTCTGTATCTCTTCAATTCAGCTATTTCTGAGTTGTATTCTTATGATAAACCAGTAACATTAAGAAAAGCACTTTCCTGAGTCCTGTGAGTTGTTCCAGCAAATGATCGAACCTGAAAAGAAGTCATGGGACTCCCTGATTTATCGCCCGTTGCTCAGAAGTACAAGTGGTCCAGGACTTGTGACTGGCATCTGAAGTGGTGGCAGTCTTGTGGGACTGAGCCCTTCAATCTGTTGGAACTGATGCTGACTCTGGGGAGTTAGTGTCAAAATTGGATGGAAATATAGGATGCCTAGTTGGTGTTGTAGGATCCAAAAACTGGTGGGTGGTGTCAGGAGAAGAGAAAAAAAATTTTTTTTGTTAGTGAGTATAGATGCAAAATCTAGCAAATAAAACCAAGCTTCCATCTATAGAGTTTATTCCAGGAATGCAAGGGTGATTTAATATTCTAAAAATCAATCAAAGTAATTTATCACAATAGTGGAAAAAAACAAAATCATAAAATCATCTGGATACATACATAAAAACAATGACTTCAGGGAAAGTGGTTTGAAGCGGTAGATCTAATATCTTCCTCCCTTTTAGAGTTCTGTCCCAGCAGAAGGAATTAATTTGTAGGAGAAAACTATAGCCTATTGCAGACCTCACCTGGACCATGAGCTACTCCACCTGGTAGGTTGTAGAAGGCCTCTGATTTCCTGGCTTTGCATTTTGATTCCCATTTCTGGTTCTGCGTGTCTTTTACTGGTGCTTCTGTCTGCGAGACAAAACAGAGACTGGCAAACAGGTACTATGTAACAATTATCATATCAGGTACTCTAGTGGGTACTGAGGGGACAAACATGTACCAAGGTCCTGGAAGATTAAGTAACTCATTGAAGGTCCCAATGCTAAGTGACAGAGCTGAGATATGAACCCAGTCAGTCTGGCTCTGGAATTCACACTCTTAATCATTCTGTGTCACTAACCCTGCATGTACATAACCAATCATGATAATATGCATTAAGCATCAAACAGACATGACTTACACATGCTATGAAAGCACAAAGGGAGAGCCGTTAATTCTGACTCGGGATGGGTTGGTTCTGAAGGCTTTTAAGAAAGAGTTAGCATTTAAGCTGGGACTTAAAAGATGAAGCTTTTAGCTGGTAGAAAATGAGAGTGTATTAGGACAGATTAGGTCATGCTGCAGTAACAAAGGTTTACCACATACACTAACTCAAGTTGAGCAATGCCCAGGTTCCTCCTTTGATGTAGTGACTCAGCAATCTGGGCTGGTACCACCTGCAGCTCCTCTCATTCCATCCCATGCATTCCTGATTTCTGTGCAGGAGAAAGAGTGAAAAACATGAAGAACTCACATTTCTTTAACTTGGAAAACACACACATACGCGCGCGCGCGCGCACACACACACGAACGCGCACACACACATCACCTCCACACGTGACCCATCAGTTCTAACTAAAAGAGCACATGGAATGTTTGTTTGGTGAGAATGTATTGTCTGCCACAGAGAAAGGGGGCATTCCAGACCAAGGGATATTGTGCAAAGGCTTGAGGATATAAAAGGGCATGGTGTGGGTGGGAAGAGCAGTGGGCCTAGGACATGGAAGGCCTTAACATCATTCTGTAGGCAACAGGAAGCTCTTGGGGGAAAGGGGACCATCATAGTTTGCCTTGTTTTGCAAGATTATAGATGATAGCCAGAAGGACTGCAGAGATGGCAGGACAGCCAACTGGATATAGCAAAGGCCCAGGCAGAAGCAGTGAGGACGGGCAGGCAGGGATGGTCTCTGGAAGCACCCTTGGAGATGGGGACTCTCTCGTACTTGGAGACTGGATGTGATTTGAGGAGGACAAGAGAACAGGATTCCAAGGTTTCCTGCTGAGCAAATATTGGTATCAGTGTCTGAAACAGGAAATTCAGAAGAAGCAGCCTATTTTGAAAGAGAAAGATTTCCGTTATGCCCTGCTGCTGGAACATATACACACACACGTCCATGAAGTTTCACTGGAAATACAACCTTGAACTCTGATGAGTGAGGAAGGGCTTCCCAGGATGAGAGAATAGAATAAGCAAAGGAAGGGAGGCTAGAGCTCCCAGGTACACTCAGGGAACTACGGTAAGAACCCAAGTCTCTCCTTCCCATGAACTCCGTCCTTCCAGCCCTGCTCAGAGCCACTTCTGGCTGCCTGTTATATATCTGCATCTGGCGCCCCCTCAATGCACCCAGCTGTCTAGGTCCTATCAACCAAATCCAGAGGCTTCCTGATTGTCATTCTGATTTCACTGTTGCAATCTTATAGTAACTATTTATTGCAATTTATTACAATTCCATGTAACATTGCATAGGCCCTCAATTCACCAAGTTCTTTTAACATGCAGGAATGCACCTGTGCTCTCAATGAGTTCAATGTTTTTCCTCACCTCAGTGAAGTTGAGAAATAGAAAAAGTCAGCTGTGGGGCTGGGGTTGTAGCTCAGTGGTAGAATGTGCGAGGCCCTGGGTTCGAGTCTCAGCACCACATATAAATAAATGAATAAAATAAAGATGCATTGACATCTTAAAAAAATTGAAAAAAAATGTCAGCTGGGTGACCCTGGGCTGATTATTTGACCTCTCTGAACCTCAGTATTTTCATCCACTAGGGAAAAAAATTAATACATGACCCATCTATTTAAAAGAGTGGTTGCAAAGATCAAATGAAAATAATGAATGTGAAACAGATATGATCTCAAAGGCAATAACAGGAAGGGTGGCAGCTGGGATGAGAGTGGTACTGATAGAAGTTACTGTTGTCACAATATGGCCTTTAGGGACCAGCCGAAAGCTCCATAAGAAAAACTCAGCTGGACAACCTTCCTGAAAGGATCTGACTGATGCTTATGCACCCAGGGCCATGACTGTAGCAAATAAAGGGCATAATTTCTGTCCTCCAGGAGCTGGATAGCAAAGTTAGACAGAAAGGGATGACCAAACATACAGCCCAGGTGAGACATGCAGGGCAAATGACCCAGGAGCTCAGAAGGGACACTGATGACAGGGTGCCCAGGGAATGCTTCCTACAACAGGAAGTGTAAGACATGATGCAGCCAGGTAGACAAGAAGGAGGCGTGGACTCACCTGGTTGCATCAGAGAGGAAAAGAATCACGCAGGAGAGAGCTGAGTCTGACAACTTCCACCTGCCACCAGCCTGCTCCTGTGGCTGGAAGAGTCCCACCTTCTCCAGGAGGGAAGGAGCTCGGGGCAATGTCCTAGATCAACCCCAAGGGTTGGGACTTCCTATTTCGATCTGTTGCTAAGCCAGCACTTGCTGCTGACCACAGTCTGGAGAAAGATCAGGTGCTCGGTGCAGACTGTGAGGACGCCTCAGCCCTCCGCACTCTGGGCACAGCGCCAGGGGCTCAGCCAGCATGCAAGGCCCGTCTGGGGCTCCTCGTGCAAGACTGCACACTTCATCTGCACAGACACTTTCCTGGCTCACAGAATTATTTTGGAAAAGGAACTCTTCATGGTGGCTCCACTCGGAGCTGCAGTCCTTGGCCTTCTGCAGTGTCAGGGCCTGGCAGTGTCTCAGGCCACAGGGTCGGCTGTGGGGTCAGCAACAGAGAGGACAGCAAAGAGACAGTCCCAGGGGGGATTAGAGAGGGAGCTGGGAGGCAGCCACTGCTCCTGGGGATGGCCAGGGACCAAGGAGCCACCAACCTCAGCATCACTGAGGATCCAGCAGCAGCCACCTGCCCTCTCCTCCCTGCCCAACACACACACACACACACACACACACACGGCCTGTCATGTTAGTTTCTGATGACAGGGGTTACAGCTTCTTCATCCTCTCATTGGTAGCTTTTCAAGTAATAAATAACTTTCACTCCAAACATTGTCCTCCCTTGCTGGAGGGGCAACCATCTTCCTGGTAAGGAGGCAGAGGGCACTCAGCAGAGGATGAAGAGGATGAAGGATGAATCTGCTTTGCCAGTTCAAAATTTAAACTTCTCTGATAAAAGTATCAGCCATTTCATTCCCTTCTCTTTGTGTTAAAAAGAAAAAGAAATCAATCTGAAGACTTTGAAACTAATTCTTCAATGAGAATTGACAAGAGTTATTTCAAAAGCACAAAAAAGAAAGGTAGATTTCTTTCCAGCAGGAAAGTCTCACTTTGCACAAAACGCATTTGCTGGAAGAAGGGAACATGTGCTCCATGGATATTTTTAGGGCCTTAACATTAGGGTGCAGAATAGTTTTCCTCTGCTCTTTCCCCATGTAAATTCATTTAAGGGGTCCGTTTTAAAAAGTATAATGAGTCCAGCCAGACGTGGTGGCGCACACCTGTAATCCCAGCAGCGTGGGAGGCTGAGGCACGAGGATCACGAGTTCAAAGCCAGCCTCAGCAAAAAAAGCGATGCATAAGCAACGCAGTGAGACTCTGTCTCTAAAGAAAATACAAAATAGGGCTGGAGTTGTGGCTCAATGGTTGAGTTCCCCCAATTCAATCCCCAATACCCCTGCCCCCCCAAAAAGTATAATGAATCAAGACAGACACAGTGGCACACACCTGTAGTCCCAGTGACTTGGGAGGCTGAAGCAGGAGGATCACAAGTTTGAAGCCAGTTTCAGCTACTTAGCAAGGTCCTGTTTCAAAATAAAAAATAGAAAGGGCTGGGGATGTAGCTCAGTGGTAAAACACCCCTGAGTTCCATCCCCAGTGCCAAAAAAATTAAAATCATAATGAGTCAAAAGTACAAAAAATCTGACTGACTGAGGTCTGGAATGGTCTTGGAGCAGTGGTCTTGCCCTTCTTGCTCAAGCAGAAACAACAAAATAAAATCTACCTTGATTTTTTTCTGTAGCTTTATTTTTTAATCATAACAGGTATCACTTTATTTTTTTCCACATTTTTATTGGTGCATTGTAGTTTCACCTTGATTGAAAGCTCTCTGGAAAGGGTGCATACTGGGACCTTTCCAGGCCCCTATATCTTCACATTCTGCGTGCATCCCTCTGGGTTGGCCTCTTTCAAGCACAGTGAAGTGTCCTGGTCCTTCTGCACACGGTCCCCTCCACACTCCACCTCCCCTCTATTGACCAGACCACAACTTCCTGGTTCTTCCAGAATCCCAACTTCTCCATAACTATTTCTCCAGGCCACAGACAAATGTTTCAAGAAATGGGTCATCAATGGACCTCATGGGGCCCCATCCCAGGCCTAGTGTTCCCTCTCTCAGATTCCAGTTGACTGAAGCAGGGGGTTGAGGGTTTGAAAGACTCCAGCCAGGGCGGGGTTGGAGCTCAGTGGTAGAGTGTTTGCCTAGCACGCATGAAGCCCTGGGTTCAATCCCCAGCACCCCTACTCCCACCCCCACCCCCACCCCCCAAAAAAACTAACTTCAAAGAACCCAGACAGTCACTAAAGTGTCAGAAATCAATGGCTTGTGAACCCATCTCACCCAGACGAACTTTTTTTCTCTCATTCAGTGGCTGTCACCCTCCATCAGAACTCAGGGACTGGAATTTTCCTATAAACCAGAGAGGGCTCCCTGGGGGACAATTGTCATCATCTACTTGGCTGTGCAGAGACATCAATCATAATCCCAAACCACTCTGTTTTCTAGAAGATGACTCATCCCAGTGACATCCCTGTCACAAAGTGCCCAGGCCCAGTATGGACCTGTTAGCTGGGCCCAGCCTATTCTTGTTACATCCTCAATGACCTGTTCGATGTGTGTCTCAAGTCTTCCAGAATATTCCTTGAGAGAAAAAACTGTCTGCCAGACATTGCCACTTGGCTCCAACCAACAGACATGTACTAGAGCCACAGCGAAAACCCACATTTCCCTTCTTCTTTGTCGCAACACCCCCTTCTGGCACCCCATCTGCCTGAAGAACACCCTCACATCCTTCTAGGCCCACCTAAAAACTCAACAAGCTTTTCAGAATCTTCTCACAGAAAGAACTCCTTCCTGCATAAAGCAAATACCCATACTTAGACACTTCCTTAGCCTCCAAGTGTCTGCCATTGCAGCTGTGACAGGCCACAGAGTGTCCATGGTCATCTCCCACGACTAAACTGTAAGTTACCCGAAGACAAGAACTGGGTCTTGAAGTCTTTGTTATTCAGCATCTAACAATATCTGAGGCCATAGTAAGTGCCCAATAAACGTTAAGCAGAGAAATGTATGAATGATTCAAGCAATTCCAACCCCACCCAGACCTCCTCAAGATCCCTATTCCTTGTAGCCCTCACCCAAGCCCAATTGTTTCCTTAAGCCAGGTACAAAAGTACTTTAGAGGGCTGGAGAACTTTCCTTTTTTTCCATCTTATCCTAGGGGCCAGGACGGCTGGAACACAGCAGCTTCCAGGAGCTGGAACAGGAGGCCCATGGTTGCTGGAGGCCACGGCAGGCTGCCTCCCCTGCTTCCATCCACTACATTCCTTGGCTGACTCCCCCAGGCAAAGCCCCTGGCAGGCGAACTCTCCCCCTCTCTCTACCACATCTTAAACAAGTCCAGGCATCACTTGTTGACGACTTGGCTGGTGGAGAAAGTCTCCCCAGGGGCAGCCTGAGCCTGAGATGGGGGAGGTGGAAGCATGACCTTGAGCTTGCTGGGAATCCCAGGAGAAGGAAGGGCCCTTGGACCACACTGCTCTCCCTGGCCTCACGAGAAGCTGCCATTTCCTAGGTGGCCAGAGTTGTGGGGGACACAGGAAGACTCTACAGCTTGGGAAAAACAAGAGACATCCCAGCCACTGCTCTTGCTTACATCAGAGTGGGCTCTTGAACCTGAACCTGACCAAGTCACTCTTCAGCTACAAATTCCTCAGTGGCTCCCTTCAGGCAAACCTGGAGCACATTTGTAAAGCTCAGGGGACCTGATGATCCACCCCCTTCCTGCCTGCCCAGCCTCACACTCCCCTTGCACAGTAAGCTCAGCATTAGTGAACAACTTGCCCTCAATCCTGCCGGATTCTCACACCTGGGTCCTGGAGCACATGGCACCGGCTGCCTGGGCCCCCTGCTCGCCCTACCTCAGTTTCCTTACCCTGTAAAATGGAGATAACAGACTTACAGCCTTGGTGGGGCTATAGACCCTAAGAAGCCATAGTAGGTACTTGGGGAACCAGACAGGGATCATAAGGAGAGCAACACAGACACATTTATGAGCAGGTTATCCCTCTGGGCCACTGGAGTGGCATCCTACTGGGAGGAGAAACAGGGAAACACTGTCAGAAGAGCCCCACTGAGAGGGGAGGAAGCTTCATATTTACCTTCAGTGTCATCTGCAGGCTGCTCATGGGGCATCTACTCAGGTCACATAAGTGCCAGTCATGTTCACAGTGCCAGAGTAACCCTCCTGGTCAAGAGGTTCAGGAGCTTGAAGCTGAAGTCCTTGGTTTGGGGTGGGAAGCCAACAGCATCTATATGGCCTACCTCCGGCTCTGCCATTGGACGGAGAGAGCTTGGCTTGTCTGGACTAGGACACCACAAGATTCCTTGTGGTGGGTCTAGCCCTCAGTCCACCCACATTGCCCCAGGCTGGACACCCTGAAGCTGCCCTTGGATGGGTCCCTTAGCCTCTGGGTTCATCGAGTGCAGGGTTGCTCCTGTCATGATCACCATGTGTCCCCAGAACATGAACAATGCTCAGCACAGTATTTGTACACGTGGACGGCTGACTGGCTGACTGAGAGGAAATGGTGCAGAACGAGGTTGGCACCAAGAACCCCTGACATTTAGCCCCAAACCCAACCAAGGGATCCAAGCGACAGGAGACAGTGACCACTGCCTTTGGAGCTGCGGGCATGTTGTGGTCTCTGTGTGTGGGATAAGTTTTTACTTTCAAATATCACACTTCAGATCCAGAAATGGCAACCTATAGAAGCTGCGAAATTGACACGTGGGTGACTGGGTTCCTTATGTGACTCAGAGCAGCCAGGGGCCCGGCTGAACGGGTGTCTGCCCCTTGCTCCTGGGGGCAGGCTCTGCCCCTCCCACATTCTGCCCATGCAGTGCTGATTCTTCCTTCAGGATCCAGAAGCAGATTGGAAACCTAAATAAATACATTTTTAAAAATATTATTGAAACACATATAGTCAATACGATGGAACCCCGAGACCGCCCCGCAGGGCTGCCCGCCCCTTCTGCACAGAATGTCCTGGCTCCCTCTCCCCAGACTCGGACCCCGCCCACCTGCCAGGGCCCAGGTGTGGGCACCGGTTTATCTTTTGAAGAAATGCCATCCTGGGCCTGTACTGCTGGCCCTGGTGTCGGGTCGTCATCCTGGACCCTGAACACAGATGGGAGACAAGGGGAAAGCCCCAAGTTAGCAAGGCAGCCTGACGTGGCCCGCGAGAAGCCGGACTGGGGGGAATCACTGAGCCTCGCTGCCGCCCGCGGCCCCTCGACTCTCCCTCGCACCCGCCGACTTGCAAAGCAGCTGGAATCCGCGCCAGCCAATCAGCGAGCGGCGCCGCGGGCTCATTAGCATGCGCTGCGAGGGCGCGCACCTGCCACCAGGGGGCGGCGTCCGGTCCTACCTGTACCCCGCGGAGCCTCAGGTGAGACCCGCAGGTCAGGGACGCGCCAGCAGACCGATCTGTCCCAAGGAGCGAGACTTGGCTGCACCGCTAAAGCCTGAGAAAATGAAAACCGTATTTGGCGAGCTTTGGAGCTTTGTCTAGCGGACCCTCATGTCAACCAATGGCCTGGAGTGTGGTTGGTGGCGAAGACGCTGCTCACACGCTAGATGGGGCTGGCTCTGAAACCCAGATTTGCCACTCAGCTCTGGGCTGAGTCAGGTATGGTAGCTCTCTGGGCTTCCTTTTTCTCATCTGATCAACAAGAATAACTGCTCCTTCTTTGGTTCTGGTTTTGGTTTTGAGATTACTGAGCCAATGCACGTACAACCCTTTAGAACCAGGAATAACCCGCGGTGAATGTCCAGTGAGTAATATTTCTCCTTTGCCTCCTGGGACTGTCTTTGCACACACAAGCTCAGTCCCAACCCCCTACCCTAGGGCTAACAATAGAATCTTCACTGTCTCCCAGGCCAAGGACAGCTTTACCACTGAACTACACCCCAAGCATGTATGTATGTATATATGCATATATACACACACATACATATATATGCACATACATACATACACATATACATATGTAATATGTATACATATATAAACATTATATGTGTGTATGCTGTGTATGCACACAAACACATATTATAGTCGTGTGTGTGTGTGTGTGTGTGTGTGTGTTTAAGCTTATAAACTGTTGGAGTAAAAATGGAAGAAGAGTATAGTCTATGGAATCAGATTACTTGGAGTCAAACCTCAACCCTGCTTACTATTTGTATGACTTTGGGTAAGTTGCTTAACCCCTCTGTGCTTTGATTTCTATCAAGTGGAGATGGAACAATGACAGTGCCTACCTTGAATGGTTATATTAAGGGGAGATAAGAGAGTAATGATTCAATAAATATCAGTTGTTATTACTATTATTAATATTAGAATCATAAACAGAGCACAAAATTTGAAATACTAACTAAACCTATGACAGAATGAGATGTCCCAGGTCTGACACCCAGGATTGTCAGGACCAAAGACATGCCCGCTTCTTATTCCCAGAGCTGAGTGACCTAAGTGGGGCAGATAAAGCTGATGTCAGAAGAGGAAGGGTGGGCATTTGTGCTGAGAGGTGCACCTGGCAGATCATCTGGACTCCGCAGACCTCTGCACTGAGTTACGGTGTGGGAATAACAGTTCAGAGAGCTGCTCTGAGGGTCTAGTTGACTCATCGGGAAATGACTTGGCAGACAGCCGTGATGCTGGATGTCACCCTCTGACAGCAGGGAAACTACTGCTTCCTCCAGGTTCCCATATTTATTTGAATTCACATTTCAAATCTATCAAACAGGATCAGCAAAGTATTTTTAAACTTGTGCACCTCTCTGATTGTGTCTCCTGCATCTTGTTTTGCTAATTTGCTCCCCTTTTCTCAATCTGATCAGATACTGATTTTTCCTATTATAATTAGATCTACTTTGTGTATGTAGGTGGGAGAGTGTTGTTGTCATTTTTGTTTGTTTGTTTGCTTAGTAGTACCGAGGTTTGAGCCCAGGAGCACTCTACCACTGAGCTACATTCCCAGCCCTTTATTTTTTATTTTTCATTTTGAGGCAGGGTCTCACTAACTTGCCCAGGCTGTCCTTGAACTTGCCATCCTCCTGCCTCAGCTTCCCAAGTCACAGGGAATATAGGTGTACGCCACTATATCCAGCAGAGGATCAGGTTTTTATTTTTTTTTTCTTTAAGTTGGAATTTTGAGACCAAAATCTAGTCACTGCGTATTTGTGCTGCTTAGCTAACAAGCTGGGCATGGTGGCACACACCTGTAATCCCAGCTACTTAGGAGGCTGAGGCAGAAAGTTCATATGTTCAAGGCCAGTCTGGGTGATACAGCAAGACCCCACCTCCAAACACTAATAATAATTAATCAATTAATTACTCTGTAAACTAGAAAAAACTTCAGGTTCTGGGTGTGGTGGCTCATGCCTGTGATCCCAGCTGCTCAGGAGGCTGAGGCAAGAGGATCGAAAATTCAAAATCAGCCTCAGCCTTAGTTGCTTAGCAAGGCACTAAGCAACTTAGTGACACCCTGTCTCCAAAGGGCTGAGGATGTGTCTCAGTGGTTAAGAACCCCTGGGTTCAATCCCTGGTACCCCATCCCCACCCGCCGCCAAAAAAAAAAAGAAATAATAGAAAAGAAAAGAAAAAACTTCAGGTATATAAAGTGTGTCTGATGGCAATATTGTCCTGAAATAGTTAACAGTGTCCTCTTTTACTCTCAAAAGTGATTGTTTGGAAAATAAGTCATATGGTCACCCAAATTATATGTTAATTTACTACTTTAACCATGATCTAATAAAGGCTTTGTCTCCCCCACCCTTTGGTGTGAGAGAGAGAGACACTGGGGATTAAACCCAAAGGTATTCTACCACCAAGCTATACCTCCGGCCCTTTTTCTTTCTTTCTTTCCTCCTCCTCCTCCTCCTCCCCCCTCCTCCTCTTTCTTCTTCTTCTTCTTGTTATTGTTGTTGATGCTGATTGTTTAATTTTGAAACAGGTTCTTAGTAACTTGCTGAGGCTGGCCTCAAACTTGCCATCCTCCTGCCTCAGCCTCCTGAGTCACTGGGATTATAGCTGGGTGCCACTGTTCCCAGTGGAGACTCCTTGCTTCCTAAGTGAAGGTGCAGCATCTGGAGATGCAAAGTGAGTGTGACCAGGACTCTAGACCCCTGGATTCTGATCCCAAATCTACTACTGACAATAGGGGACTTCAGGCAAGACACAACCCTTCTGGAAGCCTCAGTCACTTACTGGAGATGTTCAATGTTTCCCAGAGTGTGCTCTACCATCTGTGCTTCTCAAACCCTAATGCCCATCACAGTCTCCTGGAAGTCTCGTTGAAATGCAGATTCTGATTCAGTATATATGGGGAGAGTCTGGATTCTGCATTTATAAAGGTTGCCAGGCAATGCCTCTGCGAACCTCCATCTGAGCCGCAAGAGTCTTAAAGTCAAATACCCTCAGAAATCCCTGTGTTTAATACATTTAAGAGGGCATGTCTACTGCAGGACTCCCCAGTAACTTGAGAAACTCAGGATAGCTTTGCAGAAAGATAAAAGTCTTTATTTTATAAACCAATGCAAGAAAGATAAGTGGGCTGCTTGTTTTCCCACGCCAGTACCCAATCCCTCTCCCAGATGAATAGAAGATGTGGCTTGCCATACTTAAGCCTCACTGCAAAGGAACTGCTTCCCACACAGCTCCTTCCACATCCCCACTGCACCCCCGGGTCATATTTTGGATGATGTAACTTGACCCATAGACTGGTGATCCACCTAGAACCTAGAACAAGGTGTCAAAGATGAACTGGGCCAATGAGATTATTATTCTTGCAAATAACTTGACTCAGTAGAGGTAGGCAAATTTGAAAAGACCCCAGGGTGGAATCTGGCCCATGATGAGACAAAGCCACATGAGAGCTCAGGTTACAAGGAAGGCAAACTCTGCGCATGTAACAGAAGCCTGGACCGGAAGTGGGAAAGGGACAGAGGCACAGAGCAGTGCAGAGGTGACCTGAAGGCAGTTAGAAGTTGAAGTGCACACCTGTAATCCCAGCAACTGGGGAGAATGGCGAATTCAAGGCCAGCTTGGGCAATTTAGTGAGACCCTGTCTCAGAGTAAGAGATGAAAATGGCTGGAGATGCAGCTCGGTGGTAGAGTGCCCCTGAGTGCAATCCCCAGTACTGCAAAAAAAAAAAAAAAAAGAGAAAGAGAAAGAAAGGAAGGAAATGAGGGAGGGAGGGAAGGAAATGGAGGTCACTGGGGCTACAGTTGGTGACAAAGAGCAAATTGTGTCATCTCAGTTAGTTTCTCACAGTGGTGATGAGCTATAGATTGGAGCAATACTAGCTGTATGTCAGCAGGCCTTTTGCCATCAAAGGGAAAAGAGTCAACGGTGCCCCTCCTTCCCAGAAAGCCCAAACCCAAGCTTCAGCCAATGGGTAGCAACAGGAGGACTTCGTTGTGATCCTGTCTTCATTCTATCCAATCTACACTGTACCCACCTGGTCTTGACTTCATGTTTAATGTGTTTTCCTTACTCTGGTTCTTTTTTTTAAAATTTTTATGTTTTAGTTATAGGTGGATACAACATCTTTATTTTATTTTTATGTGGTGTTGAGAATTGAACCCAGGGCCTCACGCGTGGTAAGCGAGCGCTCTACCTCTGAGCCACAACCTCAGTCGTCTTTTTTTTTAAAAAAAAACTGTTTTTTAGCTGTAGTTGGATACAATATCTTTATTTTACTTATTTTTATGTGGTGGGGAGGATTGAACCCAGCACCTCGCATGTGCTAGGCAAGCGCTCTACCACTGAACCACAACCCCAGCCGCCCTGGTTCTTAATTTATGCTTTACCATTTTATGTTATGCATCTCCTGTATGCCTCATTGGCTCAAATGTAAAAAGAAACATGGGATAAATAAACAAATAGTTTGGGCACGATGGCGCACACCTGTATCCCAGGGGCTCAGGCGACTGAGGCAGGAGGATCACAAGTTCAAAACCAGCCTCAGCAACTCAGCGAGGCCATAAGCAACTTCAGGAGACCCTGTCTCAAAATTAAAAACAAAATCCCATTCCTCAGTCTATACCCAAAGGACTTAAAATCAGCATACTATAGTAACGCAGCCATATCAATGTTTATAGCAGCTCAATTCACAATAGCTAAACTGCGGAATCAACCTAGATGCCCTTCAATAGATGAATGGATAAAGAAACTATGATACAGATACACAATGGAATATTACTCAGCATTAAAAAAAAAAAGAATAAAATTGTGGCACTTGCAGGTACATGGATGGAGTTGGAGAATATCATGCTAAGTGAAGTAAGACAATCCCAAAAAACCAAAGGTCAAATGTTCTCTGGTAAGTGGAGCTGATCTATAACAGGGAGGGAAGAGGCATGGGAAAAATAGAGGAACTTTGGGCAAAGGGGAGGGCTTTAGATTGGCAAGAAGTTTTGGATGCAAATGCTATTTTCTCAGGTATTAGTCATTCCTTTCTTTTACATCTTTGTTTGAGGGTGCATGGGGGCAGAAAAGATGGTGGAATGAGATAGACATCATTACCCTAGGTACATGTATGACTGTATATATGGTGTGATGCTATATCTTGTACAACCATAGAAATGTCAAGTTGTGCTGCAATTGTGTACAGTCATTCAAAATTCATTCTGCTGTCATATATACCTAATTAAAATAAATTAATTATTTAAAAAATTAAAAATAAAAAGGGCTGGGGAATGTGGCTCAGTGGTAAAGCACCCCTGGGTTCAATTCCTAGTACCAAAACAAAGAATTAAAAAAATTAACTTAATAAATAGGTCAGATGCAGACCAGGTTACGTGGAATGGTGTCTGAATCATCATTGCCCCAATTTCTCCTGTTAGTCATCATCACAGGCAGAGAAATAGGTCTCTAGCTGCACATCACAGGATTCACCCCAAACTGGCCATTGATCCACAATGTTCACATTGTCAAACAAAGATGTGAAAGAAAGGAATTACTAATACCTTAGAAAATAGCCTTTGCATCCAAAAGTTCTTGCCAATCTAAGGTCAAGCCAGGTGCTTTCAAATACCCATCAAATGTCTACACTGAATCAGCATCTCAGGGCTAAACTTCAATGTTAGGATTTCCAACTCTTGTGAAAAGTCCTTATAAGAACCAGTCTTGCCCAGCGTGGTGATGCACACTGTCATCCTGACAGCTCGGGAGGCTGAAGCAGGAGTATCTTAAGTTCAAGGTCAGCCTTAGCAACTAAGCAAGGCCCTAAACAACTTTGTAAGACCCTGTCTCAACGTTAAAAACTAGAAAGGGCTGGGAATGTGGCTCAGTGGTTAGGCACCCTGGGTTCAATCCCTGGTACAAAAAAAAAAGAAGAAAATAAGGGGAAAAAATGTTAATACTATCAAATCTGAGAAAAGAAGTTGAACGACTTAAAATTGAGTGTACGACAGGAGGGGACATAATGAGAAACAACTTGGACCTGAAGCTTGGTTCAATCTCTTCTAAAACCAGCTGGGGTGCTTCTGGGCCAATCATTCATCCTGGGTGATTTTTTTTTTTTTTACTTGTAAACATAAAGGTTGGGCCAGCCACATCTGCTCTGCTAGTATTTTGGGATTGTAGGACAAACAAGACACATGGTACCTGGACTGCCTGGGTCTAGATTCCAGGCACTGTCACTTGTAAATTGTTTGGGTAGTTTTGGAGCCTCTCCATGTTTCAGTGTCCCTGTCTATAAGCTAATAGCAATAATAACTCTCACATGGAGATGACTTGAAATTGTTGGCTACCATTATCTTAAAGGTGGCCCAGCCTGCTTTTCCCACTATCCTCTTTTCCAACATCCTCTTTTCTAAGAGCCACGTGCCCACTGTGTCTACCCAGCAACCACAGCCATGTCATTTGGAATCTCAGCCCTGTGACGTCTAACACCAAGTGAATAATCTCCATACACCTCCAACCCATGTCTCCTCACTGTTACCTGTCACGGCAAATAACACAACACACACTCACATGCTCATCCCACAAACACAGGGTTGACCAGATATTCCTTTCTCCTTTATTCCCCAAAATCTATCTAATCAATCATCAAATTATGTTGACTTCTGGATGGCTTCTGTTTGTTTTGTGTGTATGTGTGTGTGTGTGTTTCAGTCTTGGGGATCGAACCCCAGGTGCTCTACTACTGCAGTCTGCCCCCAACCCTTTTTTATTCTTGTTTTGAGATAGGGTCTTATTAAGTTGCTGAGGCCTCAAACTTAGGATCCTCCTGCCTCCTGACAGCCTCCGGTATCACTGGAACTAAAGGTGAGCACCACCACATCTGGCCCTGAATGTTTCTTTAATACATCTATTTCTCTCTTCTTCTCTGTCACCAGGTCAATCCTGAGTACCAGCTTCTCTTGCCTGGACAAGCACCATGGTGCCCAGTAGGTCTTCCTGCCCCACTCCCACCACATACCCCCTTCCAACTTCTGGTTCATTCCTCCCACTAGGTCAGAGTGATTTTTCAAAAAACTATATATTTGGACATTTCCCTCTTTTCCTTAAAAGCCTTCAGTGATCAACCACAGTTTTTAGGGGAAAAGCTCCCCCCACCCACACCACCCCATTCCTTTTTTTGGGGGGAGGGGGTACTGGGATTGAATCGGGCGATGCTTAACCCCTAAGCCACATCCCTCAACTTTTTAATGTTTTATTTTGAGACAGGGTCTCACTAAGTTGCTTAGGGCCTCACGGAATTGCTGGGGCTGGTCTCGAACTTGTGATCCTCCTGCCTCAGCCTCCTGAGTTGCAGGGATTACAGGCATGTGCCCACCATGCCTGGCCGGGGAAAAGCTTGTTTTTAATGAACCCCACAAGGCCCTGTGGTCTCTATCCCCCAGTCACGCCAGATCCGTTTACATTTCTGGAACAACACAAGTCTCTTACAACCTCGGGGCAGTCACATGTGGCCAGAACTATTCTTCAGTTAGATTCTTCCTGGATGACTTCTCGTCCTTTAGTTTCCAACCAAAATGTCACTTCCTCAAAGGGGAGCCCTATGTGGATTCTCTTCCTCTACTAGGTTAGGTCCTTCCATTATGCATTTTTTTTTATGGTAGGGGGGTCCACTCTCCTTAATTATAATTTTTTTTCACGTGTGAAAGGGAGGTTAGGTTTGTAAACCCATGTTTATTGTGGGTCAGTCACAATAGCCCAAAGGTAGAAGCAAGCCAAGGGTCTATCAGTGGATAAATGGATAAACAAAATGTGTTTTATATATATATATATATATATATATATATATATATATATATATATATATATATATATATATACATACAGTGGAATATTATTTAGCTCCAAAAAGGGAGACAATCCTGGTACAGAGTTCTACTACCATGTGGATGATTATCATGTGGTATCTCCACACAGCCTTCCTCTTGGGCCCTTTGGGGACAGACTCTGAATTCTCATAGTCATATGCACTTCTTGGCTCCATGCCAGGGATAGAGCAGTTTCTCAACAAATTTATGAGAGAAGGAGGAGATTTGTAAACATGCAGAGCAGAGCACAGGTTAGGGAGTCCATGGCCCCAAGAGCCTGGTTTCTGCCTGTTCGATGCCAGAATCTGAAAAGCTCTGCCGTCCCTGCCCTAGTTGTCTGTGAAGTACAGACTTGTAATTAAAATTCCTCTGCTTGAGGTGGCCTGAGCCTCCCTCTCCCTGGAGAGCTGGAACCTGGGCTTCTCCCTCTCCAAACCCCCCTTGAGGCCTTTCAGACAACAGTATAGACCACAACACACACTCCTGAAGTCACCCTGTTATAAACCAGGCACTCTCATCTAATCTTCATTGCCACCTCCTGGAGAGAGAGTGGGGGACGGTGACACTGATCCCCACGTGAGAATCCCAGGCCAGAATAGGAAGGAACAAAGGTCCCATTCAAACCTGTGTGGAGAGTGACGACGGTCTTTCTGACTCTCTCTCGGCTGCGTTTGCTCTGGGAACTCCCTGTGTGAAGGTGCAGGTCAAGATAGCCCAGTTGCTATGGTGATGCCCGGCCAGAGGAGGCACGTGGGCTGTGTGCGAAGTTGAGCAGCTGTGTCAGTCGGAACCCTGAGCTCAGTCACCAACTCCTGGGAACAGAGAATTCTGGGCATAACAAGGTAACTCCAATGACTCGCCAGTCCTGTGTCCTGCAGATGGATCGCCTGCTCTGCTAAAACTTTCCCACAAATAACCTTTTGGGGAAACCTATTTAATAAACATGCAAGCTAGCTCTGGATCTGTCAAACTCCACCCGAGTTTGGCTGTCCACCTGGCCCCACTTTTGTCTCTCTCTGTGTGTCTGTTTGGCTCTTCTTCATCCCCCATGGCCACTCGTCCGGTTTCCTCACTGAATCCCTGGCCACAGTGAGAGAGATGGGAGGGCTGCGGTACAAACTCAAGAAACCAATCACGCTCCTTTCTGTGAATATTAAAGACATAGAGGCAGAGTAGCTGGGTGTTCAGGGGAAGGCTTGTTCCCCCCTTCTCTCCTGCCATTTTCTTCCTAAAATCTGATCCCCTAGATGTACAGCCCCCAGCACTGCCCCTTCCCTGAATGGGCGGGGTGGGGGTGGAATGACTCTGGATTAGCAATTTGGGAAGAACTACCTCCCATTCCTCTTAGGCATTGAGCTTCCTGCCCCTGCATCTGCTGTGCATTATTCCACCCCAAGAAGCCCTGCCCTGGGCCAGCAAGGTGGCCACTGACCAGGTGGAAGACTGTGCCTCCTGGTATGAGCAGGCTCACTGAGCAATCTAAGCCTTTCTTTCTTTTTTTTTGGTACTGGGGATTGAACCCAGGGGCTCTGAGCCACATCCCACCCCATTTTATTTTTTTTATTTTGAGACAGGGTCTCACTAAGTTGCTTAGGCACTCACAAAGTTGCTGAGGCTGGTCTCAAACTTGTGAGCCTCCTGCCTCAGCCTCCCAAATCGCTGGGATTACAAGTGTGCATCCCCACACCTGGACGACACAGCCTTTATCGAAATAAAGGTGCCATTTCCACGCTCAGTTAATCCAACCCAGGCAGAGAACAGGGGCACTCCAGGCTGTCTCATCAGAAACCCCACACTCAGTAGAATCCTCAGGGCGGTTCAGTAGAGGAACAAGTTTAGTGCTCGGCCCCTCTGACACATGCCAAGCTGAATTCCAGTGGCAGCTGTGGAGACAGGTCCCACTCTCATGGGATCCCCAAGTCAAGACACACGCTGCCTTAGCCAAGTCCCCACCTCCCACTGTCCATGCTTCAGGTAAGGAAGACCACAGTCCCAGGGTGAGAAGTCCTTAGTACGCTGGTGCCACACAAGCCCTGGCTGGCTGGGGCTGTTGCCACCTGATCCCAGAGGCCTCCCTGATTTGCGGGGTCTCCCAGGGCCAATGCTAATGGCAATGAAGGATAGCATCCCTCCTTTACTGGATGCCCATGTCCACGGGGTGTTGAGCCCTCACACCTTTCAACTCATCCAACCCTCACAACTTTCCTATGAGAAACCTGCAATTATAATGAGTCCCAGAGGCTTTGAGTCACTTGTCCAGCTCCTGTGGCCTTGAACAGTAAGCAGCTCGGCCTCGGCCCAGCTGGTTCTGCAATCCACACTCCTAAGCCCACTCTGGGCAATTCGGGCCAAATGAACAGTTAACTGATGACCGCCACTCCCCCAGGACACTGGCCACCAAGAATTCCCCTGGGGCTTTGGCAACCCAGATGCTCTTGTGACAGGCTCAGGCCCAGCCTTCCCCGCGTCCAGCCCCTCCTCCTGCCACCAGCGAAGAGGCTCCTCCAGCAGCTGCAGATCTGAAGCCAGAGCAGTGGGGCGCATCCCACTGTGGCTCTCAGGCAGGGACTTTCCAAAGCTCCATCCCTCCCGCCTTCTGCCTCCGACTTTCCTGGGAATGGAAGGGTACAGGAAGATGACTCCCAGCGCACAGACAGGAAATGAAGATAGAGCACCTGTGAGAACGTGAATTCTACGTCCACCAGTTCCACTTTCTTTATTTAGACCATTTCACATTCCACCTCCTTCACTCTCGGGGTCCTCCCACTCTGGTGGTTCTGATGACTCACTTTCAAATCCCCCACGACGACACGACAGTCTATGGCTTATCACCTGATCCGGGTCCCCAAACCACACATCCCTTTCTTGAACTTGGCAGCTCCCCCTTCCGCTCTTTCCCATGACCGCGTCCCTTCTCAAGTCTCTGACCCAACTTCCAGTCCCCCAACTCAGCAGGCAACTAGGCAGCTGGGCTAAGCAGCTGGTGACCCAGACTCCAGCCATCCCCACCACTCACCTGCGCCTGCCCGTGGGGTGGCCTTTCCCCTGCTCCAGGCCCCCCTCTCCAGCTGTGTAGATGAGCCTTCGTGTGTCCTCCTATGTTCTCCTTAAGCCCACCCTCCCTGCTCTCCAAGCCCACCTCCCCCATCCCACAACCCCCTGATGTGTTGATGACCCCAGTCTCCACTCCAGCCCCGTACATTTTCTAGGCTAACCCTGTCCCATAGAACTTGCCATGAGGATGAAAATGTTCTACAGACTGTGATGTTCCATGTGGCTCCTGAGCCCTGGAAATGTGGCTACTCTGACCAAGGCTGAACTTTAGACGCTATTTATTTATTTTTTCAGTACTGGAGATTGAATCCAGGAGCATTCTACCACTTAGCTATATCCCCAGCCTTACCTATCTATCTCTATCTATCTACCTATCTATTTTTGAGACATCATCTCACTAAATTGTCCACCTTGAACTTGAGATCCTCCTCTGAGTCCTTGGGAGTACAGGGATATACCACCGTGCCTGGCTGTTGTTTAATTTTAATTCATTTAAGTTTGAATCGCTGCATGTGGTTAGTGGCTACCCTATGGGACAGCTCGGTTCTAGAAGTGCATCACCCACTGCCTGAGGACATCCTGACTAGGATGTCATTCCTACTCAGCAAGTCCCAAAGAGCTTCTTAGCACCCCACCATCCCCAGCCCCCTTCCAGGCCTTGGAGCAAAGTGAAAATTTCTCTTCCTTTTGATTTCTCTTACTGAGTTGACAGTATCAACAGACAGGTGTGTCCCCAAAGCCTGAACTCCTAGATTCTTCCTTTTCCCTCATCTTCCACAATGATGTCGCCACCAGGCATGGTCAGCTCTTCCTCGCCAATGACTTTCAGCTCTGTCCTTGCCTTCCCAAGCTTTCTCTGAAGCTTTGGTTCAAACCAAAGATCTCTGGCCGGCTTTCCTGGTTCCCTGAACCGCCCTCCTCAGTCCATCAGCTGACCCTCGGGGGGCTTCCTCTCTCCTTTGCTTCGGCAGCTCCACCCTCTCCCACGTCAAGCCCCCGGGGAGCTGCATTCCACAGACTCCATTGCCTGGACTGTTTCCTTGCACAAGGCCTTCCATGTAATCAGGAGACCAGGTGGGAAGAGATGGGCATTCAGTCAGCTGAGCTCTGGGAGGGGAGTTGTGGGTGGCCGTCTCCCTCTGCCACAGCCCTGTCAGGTGGTGGCTCCTCCTGGTGCTGGGGATTCTAGTCCTCCCCTCTCCTCTGCTCTCGCCAGCCCTGATGCACTCACAGTCCCTGCGCTGCTAGCACCGGGCCTTACCCTGGCCTGTGTCCATTCCTCCGTCCTTCTCAAACCCTTAGATGAAGTCCGTGTATTAACTCTCCCTGGTTCTGTTCCCTTCAGTCCTTGATTGATGGTCCAAGCCTTGAGAAGCCTCCCCATCACCCAAGGAGATGGATGAAGACTGTGCTTCTTTGGAGAGCACAGGAAGTAATTCACGGTCTGTCTCCTACCTACTCTCCCACCCTCCTTCCCTTCTCTTCCCTTCCAGGCCTACAACACCAGGCTGTTTGTGACGTCCTGAAAGGGCCGTGTTGTTTCGTGCCTCCATGCCTAGGCCTGCCGAGCTCTTTCTTAACCTTTGAAACCCTTCTCCGTTCGTCACCTCCTCTAGGAAGTCTCCCAGGCCTTCCTCTCTACTTCTATGCTTTGTACAGATCCCCATTTTTCTGGAGTCACATTATTATTATCATTATTTTGCAGTACTGGGGATTCAACCCAGAGGTGCTCTACCACTGAGCTACATCCTCAGCCCTTTTTATCTTGACACAGGCTCACATATTGCTGAGGCTGGCCTTTAACTTGTGATCCTCCTATCTCAGCCTCCTGAATCCCTGGTATTGCGGGCATGTACACCCTACCCAGTTCACATACCTATGAGCTGGTGTAATCCACATCAGTAGTGACTCCCTTCTACTAACACTGTGAGCTAAGTATTATTGTCCTTGTTTTTAGAGGATGCTTAGAAGGTTCAGTTTATGGGGATATGTCAAGTTCAGAAAACTAGTAAAAAGTTTCCACTTCATGGCAAACCAAGTCCTTCTAGCTGCACAGTTGATACTTTTGGTCACAATTTCATGTTGCTGTAGCTCTTCCCCAGAACAGTCTAAAGAGCCTGGTGTGATGGGTTGAATGTTGTCTCCCTGCAAAAAAAAGGATATATTGGAGTTCTAGTACCGTGTACCTCCACATGTGACCTTATTTGGAAATAGGATCTTTACAGAGGTAGTCAAGTTAGAGTGAGGTCAGGTGGGCCCTCATCCAATATGATTAGTGTTCTTATAAACAGAGAAATTTGGACACAGCCGCAGGGCAGATGATGGGAAGATAGAGGGACGTCTTCTGACGGCCACATGAATGGAGTCTTGCCAAGGATCTGGCAAACACCAGAAGTTAGAGGAGACAAGGAAGGATTCTCCCTAGAGCTGTCAAAGAGTCCTGCCAACCCCTTGGGTTTGGACTTCCAGCCTCCAGAATGTGAGACTACAGATCCCTGTTTTAGTTTTTTGTCTTCTGTTTGTCTGTGCAGTTCTGGGGAATGAACCCAGGCATGCTCTACAACTGAGCTGTATCCCTGGTCCTTTACATTTTTTATGATAAGACAGGGTCTCACTAAATTGCTGAGACTGGCCTTTAATTTACAATCCTCCTGCCTGAGCCTCCTGAGTCGCTGGGATTATACTGCACCCAGTCCCGCTAGATTCCTGTTGTGTTAGCACCCAGTTCAGGCACTTTGTTACAGCATTCCCAGGAAACTCATGTGGCTGAGGAAGGTGCCCCTGAGAAGGGCTTCAGTACCTCTCTCTGAGAGTCTGGGTGTCTCAGAACACTAACTGGGTGTGGAGTCTACCTGAAGTTCTATGGGGTCTGTTAAAATTATGCTTCCAACTGGATCTAGGGACCCCAAGGCACCCCAAGGATATATCCTAAGCATGTTCAAATCCCAGCTCCTAGCTCAG